CCCCACACACACACACACACACACACACACACACACACACACACACACACACACACACACACACACACACACACACACACATAAACTTAGTGGGTGAGCAAGCGAGCGAGAGAGCGTCACGGTTGAGGACGCCTGCCTGGGTTACCTGGAAACAGGTGTGGATTTCCTCATACATATTTCACGGAGCCACCCCTCCATTGTCAGACACCGCTGGCTCCAGTAGCACACACATGGACACACTCACTCACACATACTTTTTTTATTCAACCCAGACCAGCATAATAAGCAGACTATTCATGTCATACCTCGACAGTACAACGAAGACTCTCAGTGTCGCACACATACACTAGTCCTCCCTCTAGTGGTACACAAAAGAATCACTGCCCAAATACAGTTTATTTGTACTGTATTGAACTTTTCAGCCCAGTGCATCTGTATCTAACACTGAATAACGACTTGCCTTTTTTGTTTTTACGTACAATAAGTTGTAAGTGAGTCATTATTTGCCTCGCCCCGTCCCCATATTCAAGCAAAGTGTTCAAGTGCATTCTTTGCATCATGTTACGAGTGGCTTACGGTACAATAATACCAAATATACTGTTTCGGAATAAACCACTATCTTGTTTGCTACTGCATTTAAATGCTGGTCGTGATGGTGGTACTTGGAGGGAAAAGTATTTTTGTATGTGGTAAAATAAAAAGGTGGAGAATTATTGCACTTTACAAAACTGTGTATTGTTGTGACGGGTATGCGGCGGACATATGTATTGCCTTCATGTTTAACGCTGATCCACGTGTCAGGATGTTTAAGGTGAACATGAATTATGGATGCACGCACACACGCACACACGCACAGTCGCACGCACACACACACACACACACACACACACACACACACACACACACACACACACACACACTGTTTTGAATGGACACAAAGGAGATCAGCTTTCACAGTGGACATGACACACCCACTAGATATTGGAACTCTATTAATAATTAGCATTTCTATCCGTATAAGAAGAGATATGAGACAATGAAATCCTCGAAGCAGCATTTATTCACAATATGGTTCTACAGTAAATGACGCAGGTCGCCGTTAGGTGGCGTAACGGTCCCTCCTCTTGGCCAAAGCAGATTGAAAAATGTACATTCGATCCAAGGCATTTATCCATCCATGATCTGAACCGCACTTGATATTTAAGCGACACCTAGCACCCCCGCCCCCCCCAAAAAGTTTCCTATCTCATTCTCCTTTCTTTGTAAGGTTTTATTAAAATATCGACTCGATACTGTCATTTACAGTATATGATTTCATTCAGGGCTTTTTTTAGTCCATTTTAGTGAGCGTGAGACAGTGTGAAGGCCTTTATTTATTGGTGCAGCTGAAGCGTGAGTAGGCCTGTCGCATTGCCAAACAGCAACATTTATTCCACATGGCAGGCATTTTAATATGCGGCAAGCATCACGCCCTGTCGTCATTTTATACACCGTTGACAGTTTAATAAGTTGCAGCTCTTGTAAAAAACAAGGAAATGAGGTGTCGGTGGGCATTCCTTTAAGAAAAGTGGATGTTGCATAAGAGTTTGGACGCAATTGCGCCACACGAAGATGCCTGAAGAATCTTGTAAAAACTACCAGGCAAAACAAAACAAAGGAGTGCAGTATGTACACAAGAGCAGGCGCTCAAGCTGTGCGTCACATTATATAACAATACTTTTTGGTTGAAAAAGATACACATTTTCACATTGTTTCACATAATTGAAAAGCTGTTGTGACTGTAACCGTGTGCAGTAATTACTAAGCAATGTCATGTATCAATGTCACAATATTGAACAAGTTCTAAATTTCACATCAACAAAGTTCAAGTAAGAAATGTAAAAACTGTACTAAATGTCTCACCTGGGTAGTTGAAACTGTATTGTGCTGAGCCAATGCCATTTCCCCGCGGCCTCAAAACATGCTGGCGACACAGCTTTCGGATTAAGCGCCGCCCCCTGCCGTCAGGTCGTGTAATTACAACAGCCAGAACATTTACCGGAGCCCGAATGAATGCGACTTCACAAACACGAACAAAAACCACAATTTTCAGCCAGCGTCTCGGTATTTTTCCGTTGACAATGTGACAGTAACTTTAAAAATGACTTGGGCAATCATGCTAATAGGCGAACAATTTTTGTAAAATCTTATAGCACACCACCAAGCAAAACATCATAAATACTCCAAGCGGGCGGGGGTATCCAATTCTGATTTGGATTAATTTTGTGACCACTAGCTAGCATTTCCAAAGCTGTCTTGTACCTCTGATTTTTGGCTAGCATAACAGAGCAAAAGAAAAAAAAAAGGTTTTCATCAAACGAGTGACGACTCATAACTCGGATAACTACCGGTAATACGGTGATGCACCCAGAAATCAAGGTATCACTAGTGCTGTATATGTACAGTATACTGCATATGCACGTATGTATGTGCATGTGTGTCAATGAGCAGAGGTGACCGGCATGATCGCATATTATGATGAAACCACGGCCTGAGAGGTCATCGGCTCTTCCTGCCACGTATCCCAAGTCCGCCTGGGCCAGTCCATTTACCCCGTAAATTGAGTGTCTTTGTCCCGCCAATATTTGTTCATGCCATTCAACGTCTTTTGACACACGATATGTGCGAATATTTTTCAATTGATAAACGAATATTCTATTTTAAAGCCATGCCACCTGGCCGGAATGCAAAGTCATTTCTGTCACGCCTTCCTGGTTCAATGAGGACATTAAATGAGAGTTTTCAAAATCTGTTGGGTATTTTTAATTTTATTTTTTTGTCATAATCCATTCAGCAAACCGCAATCCAAACCATCCATTGAGCTAGCTCGCTAGTTCCACCCTCGCTCTCGATGGATGGCCTTTATTGTTTCCAGCAAGCCACCGCCTGAGAAAGTTGTTTTAACCCTGCCTGGCTGGGATGTTCAAATTGTTTCCTGCGTGAGAAGCTCCAGGGACGGGGGGAAAAACTGATTTCCTGTCTACAATTGAATGTGTAGCGCTCGGCTTAGGGAGCAATTCAGGAAATACCGCGTTTCATCACTTTTTAAAACATTTCACCTCATGTTGCGTCATAACGTGACTTTCAAGAATGTTGCTGCGAAAAGATGACATCATCATGTCAAATAATATTAGCAGCCACATGGAGGAAAAAGAACCTTTGTGCTCATCAAGCCGGAGATAAGCAGCTTTTCTGTCAATCCCGATGAAAATAAATAAATAAATAAATAAATAAATAAAAAGACATTAAACAGCAATGTAAAATCCAAGTGGGAGTCACACACAACAAGTCTACTATTAGCAGCCACATGGAGGAAAAAGAACCTTTGTGCTCATCAAGCCGGAGATAAGCAGCTTTTCTGTCAATCCCGATGAAAATAAATAAATAAATAAATAAATAAATAAAAACACAGCCATGGAGCACTGAAAAGAAAATTTGGTGTGAGTTACAACAAGTCGTCCTGCTTCACCACATGAGCGGTGTAAATGAGGAATACAAGGAAGGAAGTTACAGTTCAACATCGGAGCTTTTCATTTGAAAATGTACATTTTGAAACCGGGGTCTTGCATGCAGTCAGATGGATGGAAATGCTGATGAAAAAAAGGGTAGGCAGAGGCCAAATAAAGTCAACGTGATTCAGATGCAGAACATTTCGTACGACTTCTCAGCATAGGTCCAATAAAGAAAATACACAAGGGAGCAAATTGGTTTGGAAAGTTTGTTCGAAAAATGACGATTGTCAGCATTTGCAGACGGAAATGGGATCAAATGGATGATGGGCATCCTGATGGAAGAAAGGCAGCCATGGGGAAATAAAGCTGAAAATCCAAATAGATTGCGGCATACTTAACTGCACAGGCACTCCAAACAGCAATTATAAGAGAGCAGTTTACAGTCGATTTTTTGGAGCATTTTGTCTAAAAATGATCATTTTCAAATCTTGCATGTGTTGAAATGGAAAAAGACCGCCACTTGCTCAAGCAGCGTGAAGAACAAATACCAGAAAGCCAAACTACCGTCCAATTATCGATCCTTTTGGTGATTTTCAGAGAAAAGTCTAGCATGGGGTCACACAGACGATGGCAGTGGCGTGAGCAGAGGCTCAGCGGGTGTCTGTCAATGGAGACACTGTGTTCCCCACACCCTGCACGTTGTCACGACAGCCCAGAGGCCGGTCCAGTGTGAAGCTCCATCCTGAACACGCACTGGCCAAGGCACATGATGCAACACGCTGCTGCGACACGCACTTAGCGGTGATGCGAAGGCACCGACTAAACATGCGCTGGAAAAAAAACAAACAAACTAGATACAGCAGTATTTTTACATCCATATATATATATATAGGAAGGGAGAGAGAGAGAGAGAGAGATAGCCTCGGTGATTATTTTATGATATTTAATTTCAGATAATGTACAGTTAGCGTCCAACAATTGTGGCTGTGGAGGAAATCTTCAACACATGTCATAAAACGTGATGGGAAGCCCCCACCTTCTCACTCCATAAATAAAAATAAACCCCTCCCTGACATGATTCATGCCAATGAGCGAATCCTCATGCCTTTGTCTCCGCGCCTCGCAACCGGGCCGATTTGGGTGACGCGTCAATGCTCAACCAATGGCCGCCCGTCAGCCAGCATCATTAACGAAGGAGGGGGCGGTGGGGGGAAGGAAGGCACGTGGTGGCAGGCGAGATCTGGAGGCCTGTCGCACAGCATCATGGGGCAATGGTGAGCGAGTGGGCATGCGCCGTCACGAAGGGGCTACGTGCGGAAACACAAATCCACCATGGGAATGCCAAATGTGGGCCTAAATCGCTCCCATGTGCACTTAAAGCCTCATTTCATCAAATGTGATGTACTGCGACCATCCCTGGAATGAAACACTCAATTCTGGCTCAGAAGAATTGATTACCTCAGCATTTTTTTGCTCAATTGTAAGGTCACAGACTCACATTTTCATTTTGGGGGCTTTTAAGCCTGTGCCACAGGAAATGATCTGCAGATTTCAGAAAATGATTTACTTCAAACAATGCATCTTTGTTCCTCTGTCTATGCCAGTGAGGTATCATGACAACTAGTCTTTAACTTGATGGGAGAAGGCCAGATTAAATTGTTTCCACCCAGAAAACAGGAAAAATTGCATTGTGCCCAAATTGCAGCCATTCATTTGGAAGCTGGTTCCTTTGGCCTCAATCCACTTCTTCATCCCAAGCCTTTCACGCCACAAATAAGAGACACCATCCACACTATAGAAAAATGGCAATGTAACAGCATGCAACTGGTCCACGTACGTGAGCTGGTCAAATGAACTTTCTGATACTATGGCAAAGAAAGAATGATGTACGGCAGTTATTTTCCAAACATTTTTCGACCGTCAAAGGCCACCGTAGTACACCAGGAAAGAGCAACTTTGCCAGCAAAATGTCCGTGTTACAATCCTTCGTTGACTTGCCAATCAATTTAGAATAGAAATAAGCGAACGCGTGTTCGAAAGTGATATGACGAACCATTTTCCCTTTGCTGTCAAACGATCGCAAAGCGTAATTTGCACGAGCGCTAATAAGTGACCATTAAATAAAATACGGCGGTTGTACGCAAACTCTGCTTAAGACAAACCTTACCCTAAGGGTCGTAACCACCACTTACAAGACATTTCTTATCCTACCAACACCAGATCTCTTTCGAAAGTTTCACATACGTTGTTCAGTATTTGTATTCCAAAGTACTCTGAAAAATTTACAAATCAAAATTTTGGCCTTTACATCGCAGTGCATTCTGGGACTTGTAGTTTCAGCGCTTTGTTCACCCCTCACATTTGGCCGCTTCTCATGAATAAGACGAGAGGAAACCGAAATAGACAATCGGCGCAAAAAAGGATTCACAGCTTTATTAAATAACTACAAAATAAAGTGACATTTCGCCAGACATCAATAAAAAAAAAAAAAAGTCATAAAAATCCACACATCGGCTCAGTGTGGTGTGCATATAGTATACAAGACATTGATAAGATGCTGAGTGTCACAAGATGATTGCCCCCTCCCCCCCCAAATAAAATAGGTAGTGATTTATGAGACATGTTTTTGCTTAAAAACAAACAGTTTCTACATGATTGTGCAAAATATTCACAGAATCTCCCAAGTCGTCCCACGTGGAGATCCACGTTGAGAATTCAAGTAGTAAATGACAAAATATTTCGCCCACCGTCGTGTCTTGACCATGTTTGCATGCACCTTTGCAACGCCTAATGGCCGCACATCATCTTCCAACTGCGATCAGAAGCGTCACCCCCTTACGGTCTGATTGCCGAAAACTAAAAACCACAATAACATCGCCATGACTTCATCTTCACTTTCCATCCCAGCCATCAGTCTACGCTTCAGGGCACCGGGTGGGCCTGCACCTTCTCCGTCATCTGCTTGGCACTGTAGTAGGACAAGCTGAGACCCATGATGGCCAACATCATGGCAATCTGATTGATGGCACGGTCCTGCGGCTGCGTCTGCACTTCGCCCGCCACTTGCCTCTGTGGCGGGGGCAAAAAAAAAATAAAAAGAATTACAAAAAGAAATTAAGACGATTTATTCGAAAACTGTGTTATGTTTAAACAGTTGTCCAAACACCATTAAGCAGGCGAATATTAAATGTGTTTACAATATATATCTCCTTTGATTTCAAATGTATAGCCGCTAGCTAGTACAAGAAGCCAACGTAGTAGGCCACATCTTCACTCCTTGTCAAAACGACACGTTTTGGCTTTCTAGACTGTCGTACAAGTCCAGAAACTAGTTAACAAGGCTCATCTGTTTAATTAAAATGCATAAATAAAAAAGTTGGCCTGTTTTCAAGTAATAAAATGCAGTCAAATTACTGGTGGTTCAAAATGCTTCCTTTTGATCACAAGCATATGGCAGCAAGCGCAAAAAACTAACACGGCAATCGCCACCTTTACTCAGCAAAAGCGCACTGACCCAGACGCACAAAACAATCCCTTGATCACAAAAAAAGTTTCTCAATCAAGACAAAGATACTGTAGTCAAAGTTAAGAACAAAAAACACGACTGTTAATCACAAGCATGTGGCACGTAGCCAGCCAGGTAGCTAGCGCAAGAAGCTAACAGTAATCTCAATCCTCTCCCCTTGTTCAACAGCACGCCAAATCAAAGTTGATTTGGACACAAAAAGTTTGGTAGATATGGCACGTAGCAAGCAGGAGAAGCTAACGCCATGGGTCAAATCTTGATTCCCACTCAAATGCCCGTCAACACAGAAGAAGCAAATTTAAGTCTTTTGCTGACAAAACATTACTAGCTACACAGCTGCTAGCCAGCTAAAAAGCTGAAGGAAGACAAATTCTCAAGTGGAAAACTGCCAAATCTTAATTTTCAGGCCGTCCAACTGGTGCGGTAGCAGGTCACTTCATGCAACCGTTCCTCTACCGTCAGGTCACGTTCAGGTTGGATACGAGAAAGAAGTCAGACAGTCTTTGCGTGTGCATGTGGGGAGGGCGGTGGGGGCATACATTATGCAACAATTGCCATCTTTCCTCGCCGTCTTTTGAACATCTCAATCTGTGTTCCGTTGTCTGGAAAAAAAGAAACCTTCAACCAAAATGAGTAAGATGAACGTCGTACCGCCAGGTCAATCTGTGTCACACACGGAGGGCCTTTGTTTTCCCAATTAGAGTCAAGAAGGGAACAAAACCTTGCGACAATGGTTCCCACGCGCTTTGTGATGACTGCCCGAGCATGAAGAAAAAAAAAAAAAAAAAAAACTGTCACAATGGTCGAAATGGCGTCTGATTCGTGTTCAGGAATGAAGTGTAAAGGGTGCAGATGAGGGCTCTGGAATCTGCCCAGCGTCGCTACCTGGAGCAGGCGAAAGTATCCTGGCGTCAGCCGTCCCAGCCTGATGATCATGTCGATGGATGCGGCGGGACGGGGCGGCTGTGGCGAGACGGAGTGGCTGTTGAGGACCTGCGAAAGCACAAGAATCTCATGAGCCGACGTCTTCAAAAGTCCATCGGCGTAAGAGGAAACCCGGACGAAGCGCCACTCGCAAACGTGAACCGCGTGACCTTCCGAACAAGCCGGCCGTCTGGTAGACGTGCTAAGCGATGATCATCTGGCCTCGATTTGTCCAGCGGCAAAAGCCCCCGGGACGCGGCCCGCATCTATCCCATCACTCGCTCCGGATGACGTTCAGACAAGAACAAAAACGTACCGCGTGTGGCAAACGGGGAGAACCGCCAAAGCACTGTTCTGGATCTTTTGCTTCCGCATCCTACCCTCTCTGTTCTGCAACGCATTTGCAAAAGGCCAGACTCATTCAAACAAAAGGCCGTCCGGGGTTTCGTCCGCCGCCGTCACAACTGCAGATATTCGGATACGGACCGGTCTTAACTGGTACAAAGGTTGGATGAAAATCAGAATCTGGACAAGCTGAGTGCCCCGAAAGCTCGTGAGCGTCAAGGCGGGGTCGTTGTCTGCGGCGATCGAACCGTTAGATCAGGCGTGATGTGAAAATAAGAATGTCAACCTGCTTGGAGTTGGATTAGCGCATCAGGCAGACGATCCCGATTTGAGGAAGTTCTTCAAGAGTCTTGAGGATGACCCGACTTGACAGGATAATTACAGTACTTAAAAAAAACAAACAAAGATGCCTCAGGTATGCAAGGATTCCTCGAAGCGACGGGACAAGCAAGTCTTGTCAAGACTCCTCAATGTCAATCCCATCGACACTTTTTCGAGCTGTATTCTTCAACTCCAGCAGATCATTTGACTTGGGAGAACTTCGCCCAGGAGTCTCTCCCGTAGCCCCAGCCCTTACTTGTCCGCCGACACCTTCAGCCCTCCAAGCCCAAGCGGAGAGAGCAACCGAGGTACTTCTTCTCCGCCTTTTTATAAAGCGCCTGCTCTCGCCCAACCAGATCTGCCAGGCTGGGCTGCGGTGCACACGCCCACTTTTTGCAGGAACGCGCACACCAGGGCTGTCGAAAAGCATTACTTTCACTTGGTGGCCCTACCAAAACACAACCCCCCCAACCCCCCCATCCCTCCCAACTTCCCCCTCCACTTCAACCCCTCCCCCAAAACAAACTGTCCTATGTTAACTCGTTAGCAGATCAAGACAAATAAAACAGGGAAACAACGCGTTAATGGCGGCGCACGTGCATGTCCGAGAGGGCGATTACGCAACTGTTCCAGATGCGCGCGTTTTCATCGGACACCGGCGCCGATGGGACGCGCACAGACCTTGGGACTCTGATGAAAACCAAAGACCGGAATTGACTGCTTAAAAGTGTAGACGAGCGTGTCATTTCCCATCTTTGTTTCAATACACACGTGCCATTGAAATGAAACGACGAGACAAGCGCTGATGATGTTTGACCCAAAAGTTTTTCGCCAAAAGCAAACTGTCGGGCCACTTGACAAAGCCCAGTCAATTGAGCCCAATACAAAGCAAATGCAATGGCGCTAACGAGGTCATCTGGTAAAATCGGGACACGTGTGACTAACTTTAATGGGATGAAGTCAAAGATTAGCGGCTAGTTGTACATCATTTTTAGGTGAAGGGGAGACATTTTGTATCCCAATCATTGTGACCAAAAATCACGTTATCAATCCTCGATTTACAACCGTGTCCACACAGAATATTTTGCAATGACGAACACCATGCCATGAATTAGCTCGCGCGATGGCAGGGGCGGGGAAAAAAAGTTCCATCCAATTTAATCCTTTGATTTACCTTTACAGGCATCACACCATCATTCCGACTTGCGTACGAATTTGGGTGACGTTCTCAATGTATTTGTGAAACATGTTAAATTTGCTGAAATTTCACCATCACTTCCGAAGTCTTCCATCATATTTTGTGGTCGAAAAATAAGTGGACGTCGTGCCGTAAAACCTGTATCTGACATTTTTGGCTCAGTTAGCGCAGAACTTTTGACTGCGCGCTCCCAGGCTGGATTCATCATTTGTTTTAATGTGACGGTCTTAAAGTTTGAAAAAAGTTGAAAAATAAAATGAATATAGACAGTTTGACAATTTTACTCATTGTAACAATTGCACTGTGGGCTGGATAAAATGTTTTAGCAGGCCAGCTGAAGTTCCCCACCCTTTTTTTTTTTTTTAACTACATGTGCACTAACTACTTGTCGGGAAAATCTGTTTATCAAACGGCATCCAACCATCACCGATGGAATGAAGATTGCCCATCAACACGCCCAAGGGCACAAAAAAAAGAAAAAAAAGGCATTCGAGGTCGGAACCTCAGAATGCTGTTTGCCACATTCTATCTTTGGGTAGGCACGTTGATGACTGACTATGAACAAACACTGCATGGGTGTGTTCTCAACCACATGTCAATACACCAACTCATTGACATGCTTTGGAGTTAAAAAAAAAAAATCACATGGTTCTAATATCAATTATTCAAAAAGGTTGTGTTGGATAAGACTCCTGTCAATTGTCCAAAACACTGTGCGAGTTAAGAATAGATGACTATCATGACGCCAAATGTAGCGCAGGCTGAAATTGGACAACTGCAAATACTTGCACAATAAAAAATGTCACTTACGTGTAGCCCAAAATCTTTTGCAAGGTGGTATAACTCTTTAAATTCCCCCAAAGTTGCCTTCAAGACTACCTCAACGCTCCTAAAAGTTGCACAGGTTACAATAATGTTACTCTAATACCACAGGTCAAATTAGCCACCCCCCCAAAAAAAAATATTCTAATACTACCATGAATCCAAATGTTTCACAGGGTAAAAACTAACCCCCCCTGCCGCCACCCAAAAAAAGTTGCAGTTAAAAACAAAGTCTACAGCACCATAATTCCACAAATCTTGTGCAGCTAAAAATAATTCTACGGTTAATGGCCCGAAACTTGCACAGGTATTAAACTGCCATATATCCCAAACGTCACGGAATGAAATGGGAATACCGTAAACTGTGAAAAAGTTGCACGGTAAAAATACGATAATCCCTAAAAGTTGTACAGATTCAACAGGACGGTAAACCCACAAAACTGCAGTTTCATTATTTAAAAAAAAACAAAACATCTTGATAAAGAAAGACTATCATAAATCCACCAAATGTTCAGAGGTTAAAATAAGTCCCCCACCCCCAAAAATATGGGCAGGTTACAATAAGACCAATGTCAGGGAGAAGAAAGAAGTACAGTAATAACAATGATTTTTTATTGATTTATTTACTTTTCAGAAAGGAGTGGTTTAAACTATGATGAGCGTTTGGCCAGCAACCCTGCTGAGTCAGCTGGGAACTATTCTTGGAATTCTCTACCTGAAGCACGCAAACAAAGAGCCACTTTCACACTGGCACAACATATCCAAGGCCAAACTGCTGCTGTTCCAAAGATGCTCGTGCTCAGTCTGACTGACACCGTCTCATTCTGATGATTATTATTATCATTATCATGATTGGAGGCTGTTTGCTTCAGTCAGCATCATCCAGAGTCAGGCATCAACATACGCAGGGTACACCGTGTACTCTACTCCTGCCGGCCAATGAAAGCCCTTCATTTCCATTCTTCGTCCCGCCTTTTCACCCACACTTTTTGCAGCTTCCCCTCCCTTCCTTGCTCTCTAGTCGACTAGTAGGGGCGGGGGTGGGTTCCAATCAGAAGCACCAGCGTCAATGCAACTGGACATCTGTCACCACGGTTACGTCACAAAGCAGCCCGTTCGCACTGTACAGCGGCTGCATTGTGCTGCATTCGAGGCAAACCACCAAGTGGGAAATTCGGCACTCGAGGCCCGACCACAAAAACGTGAAAAGAAGGCAAAATGGAATGCGAGCTCTCCAAGTGTCTCATCGAGCTTTGGATGAGCTGTAGTAAACGGGTTAAACGTTCGGTGCTATGCTAGCACATCTGCTCAACCTCATTTAGCATTCCAATTATGGCATTATGCATTTAATTGATTTCAATTTCACCCATAATAGTCATGAGCGTTTTATGTTTTGTGTTTATTATTTTACTTGATGTTAACTGTTTTGTGAAGCGCTTTGTTACAGCTGCCGCTGTTGTGAAAGCGCTATATAAATCAGCATGCATTGTATTGTATAAGCGAGAAATTTAAGAGGGTGAGCTATCTTGCATGTATGATGCTAGCATTAGCACAGTTGACATTGTAGACCGGCACTATCGGCATTCAAACTTTGTCGTTAAACAATAAAACTTACATTTCTATTATGTGTGATATGACAACCAATAACTTGTTGGACCTGTTTATTTATTTTTAAAATCAGGTTAGCTAGCATGTTAGATGTGATAGTGTTAGCATTTCTGCTATAACCAGACCCCACCCCTTTGCTTTATTGACTTTCTGAAATGACAAAGTCATCGTTAAAGCACACATAAGTCGAAGATAACAAGAAATGATAGCTTGTGTACTTAGAGTTCGTGTGTGTTCATATAGTTAGCATACACGAGAAAACTAA